TAATAAAATGACAAATATAATGAGCAATTATGAGATTACTCATAAGAAATCATTTGATATAAAATATAAATATCTTTTTTAAATATATCTAAAAAATTAAATATAAATCCTTGAATTTTAATATATTTTGAGTATTTTTTTTATTAATAATATTTTAAATGAGTCGGCTGATGAGTTAACAAGTGGAGTTAGGGTTGGCTTTAGCTTGGCTTATTAACTCATCGAGTTCAGCTCACAAGCTACTTATCGAGGTAGGTTCGAGCTGGTTCATGAGTCGGCTTGACTTTGTTACACCCCTAATTGCAACAACATCCCTCCCTTTTGCGCCGCTTGCCCTCCAGTCCAGCTCTCCATCATGCTGCAGGCTCCAGCATACTGTTTACGACCCTTTTTCTCCTCCCAGCTCACTCCCAAGGCTGTTGTTCAGGGGCCCTTGATTCCTAATGAGGACGAGATTATTTTTCCGCATTATTATCATGTTTTATTTAAATAGATGTGACAAATTTCTTATTTATTTTTCTCTCTTTAGGTGAGCTAAAGTCTTATATACTTACCTTATTGTTTCTCTATTTCAGGAGGACTTACATCTGTTATAAAATATGTGCTCTTCCCACTTAAAAATTTTAAAAAATATTATTCTTCTCCGATATTTGTCAACAGTCTTCTACAAACACGCAGCCTTCTTTTTCTTACTTCTCATGTTTCCTAATTAGCCATCTGTTTTCAAGTACAGGCAGCAAAGTCGAAGCTGCACGGCTAATTGCTGTTTAGATTTTTTCTGCAACAATTTTACAAACAAACATGTTTCACATTTCTTCAGATGATGGCACTGTATATAGTTCAGGAGACAACACATTCGGACAGTTAGGAAGAGAAACAGAATCATCAAAATTGCTTCCTGTCCAGATCAACTTCCATCCTATTTCTCTTTCAGCTGGGCTTGGCCACTCTCTTCTGCTGTACCACCTACCTTCCAATGGAGCTGCTCATGAAGCCACAGGGATTCTTTCATGGGGATGGAACGGAAGCTCGCAGCTTGGCCGCCATGGACAGGAAAAGGTTCCTTCTCCTGTTGAAGGACTTGAGGGACGAAGAGTGGTTTCAGTTTCAGCAGGGCGAGTTCATTCAATAAGTCTGACATCAAAGGGAGAAGTTTTGACGTGGGGTTCAGGAAGAAATGGTAGGCTGGGATTGGGGAGCTCTGCGGATGAAGCTGAGCCCACTTTTGTTGAGTGCTTGGAAGGTGTTGAAGTCCTGCAGGCTGTAGCTGGCCTTGACCATAATTTGCTTCTTGTTGCTGAGTAGCCTTGAAGCCAGCAGAATTGCTTTGAGCGAGAGTTATTTTTCTCCTGCAAACAACTCATTCTCTA